CGGACAGTCTATTTATTATTAAACCGTGTAAAGCGTTGAATTTTCGTTGTTGTTGTTGCGTTGTCTTACAACAACACATCAGCAATTTCCTTTTAGCCATATTGACGATTAATTTTTTTCGAATGAATAGCTTAAGTTTCCCTTTTCAATGCAACAGCAATGAACGTTCGAACAAACGAACGTTAATGACCTGGACGACCAGGCCATCTGTTTACAAGCGATTTTTCCCTTTCCAGCAATCAGCGTCAATATCATCATCAACGTCGTCACCTAGACAATGTCAATATCCTTTGGCAATTTTCATGTTTTTCCTCACCCCATTCAAAATCAATGTCATTATCAATGCATAGCAGCCAGCAGAAGATGTGAAATGCACACATTTGTGAACTGTGAAATCTGGAAAAAGAATAATTTTATTTTTAAATGAAGAAGTTCAAGTTGGAACGTTGCGATTCGCATTTGAAGCTAAACAGAACGGATGGTGAAATTATGTGATTGGAACATTTTCTGGCGTATTCTCTGTCGACCAATTTTATATATTTAGAATAAAAGTTTGATTTGAAGAAACCCTAAAATTGACCGATGAATAGGCAGACGGATGCGCTGACAGGATGGCTATTTTATGCTAAGTCTTCTATTTATTTCCGGATAAATGTCTGAAAAAGCTGCAAAAAATTATGGCCAAAATCCTGAACCTGCCCAATTTTGAAAGTATGATGATGTTTTGAATTTCTAATGGAATTTCTGAATATAAAAGGAAGTCTGTTAGTTAAAAACTAGCGTTTTTGAAGCCATTAATGTTAATTTTTAGCAACTTTTATATGGTCCCAGAAGTTGACTGCCAACGTATATTTTTAAATTCATTTAATTGTTTATGATTCAAGGGGAATATTATATGCGTTCTTGGGACGAAATAGGGATAACTCTAAACATGGAGCCTCGAAGCGGTTTTTTTAGGGGAATTGTTTAAGAAGCGATTCAAGGTGGGCAATATATGTGCATTTTTACGTATTCCAATGACGGCTTCTAGAAGAATAATATCAGATATAGCAGATTTTTAACTAGGATTTTTAAGGGCTTAGGAGGACCCAAAACATGAATAGAACGACTTTTACTGTGATTCCCGGATAAGTATAAATATAGGATTCTAATTTTTAAGAGTTGACCGAAAATGTGTACTTGTGAAGGTTTTGAGATGAATCCTACCGTATAATACTAAAGGATCCAAGGATAACCATTAACACAGTTTTAGTGATGACCAAAGACAAATAGAAATTTTCAACGATAATAGAATTTTAAAGTGTTAGAGTTATTAGATTTTCCAAGAGATCTCAGGATGACAATTGAAGTGAATCTTGAGAAGGATCAAATGCAAATTTTTACATTTAAAGATTTCTAGTGGGATCTATGGATTATCTTAATAGTGGATTTTTCCAAAGCTAATCATTTTTAAAGTTTTTACGAAGATCAATTTTAAGGCGTTTTAAAAGAATGTAAGATTGAACATTAACGTGGATTTTTACAGGGCAGTCTTTGAATAGCTTGAGGTCCTCTATTTAGAAGACGTTCAGGTCCTCTATTTAGAAGACTTTCAGGTCCTCTTTTCAGAAGACCACTAGGTCTTCTATCGACAAGTATTTTACGTCTCCTAGATCTTAAGATTTTATATGGAGAAGATCTTTAGGTATTTTATGGAGTAGACTCTTAGGTCTTCTATAGAGATTTTTATGGAGATGAACTCAAGGTCTTATTTGGATTCAACGTCTTCTACGGAGAGTAGAAGACCTCAGATTTTTACAATTTTTCGATCTCACTTTTTTAATATTTTAGGATTCAAGGAGGAATATACATAATTGGTAAATTACCAACGTCGATTTTTAGGGGGATTTTTTAAGACCATAGTATTTCAAAGTTTTATATACCTTTTTAAATATTTATAAACCAACGAAGGTTTTAAGAAGGATCCATTTTATATGTGATGTTTAACTTGGATGTACTTGTAAAGATTTTGACATGGATCGTATATAACTATATCCGTGAAGGATTCAAGAATGATTTTAATACTGAAGGGCCTAAGGATGATGATGATAACGTAGTTTTGGGGAGGGCTCAAGGATGACCAAGGACGACTGGAAAGTTCCAAGTACTGTGGAATTTTTAAAAAGTACTTCAAAAATCTGAGAATGCTTAATGAGTTTTTGGAGGAACGAAAGATTAGCATGGATTTTTACAAAGATTTCCAAGGAATACCTGGACGACAATAAATGCGGATTTTTATGAGTACCAAATTCCAGTATAAATGTGATTTTTTATGAAGAATTTACAAATCTAGAGATGAACTCTAAGGTGGATTTCTCCCAAGATAATATTTTTTAGAGTTTTTACGAGGATCAAAGGATGGCCATAATCACGGATTTAAGGTGTTTTTGTAGAATCCAAGACTGAACATTAACATAGATTTTAACATGGATCTTTCCAAACTTCATTTTTAATTTTTGTGGGTTCCAAGGATGGGTATAAACGTGGACTTTGTAAAGAATTTTGGATGGCCATGGAGCTGGATTTTTAAAAAGCTTTAGGAGGATTTAGAAATATGGCCAAATCCACGGATTTTTGGAGAGTTTTAAAAGAATTTGTGTTTGTGTATCAAAATAGACGAGAAAGAGGTTTAAAGGATTATAGTAGGACCTAAACATGGATTTTTAACGGATTTGAAGTAGGATTTAAATTTGACTTTTTAAAGGATTTGAAGTTGAATCTAAACGTGGATTGTTAAATGATTTGAAGTAGTATCTAAGGACGACTATAAACGTGGATTTTCAAGGGATATAAAATATGATCTAAGGGCGACTATAAATGTTGATTTTTAAAATATTTAAAATAGCTTCTAAGGACGGCAAAAACATGGATTTTTAAAGAATCTAAGGACGTCAATATGCGTGGATTTTTAAAGGATATAAAGGAGAATCTAAGGACGATTATGGACGTGAATTTTTAAAGGAATTGAAATGGCTTCTGAGGTTTGTGGGCTCTTTAAGAATTGTATTCATTTTGAAGGATATAAAAGAGATTCGAAGGACGAAATAAAATGGGATATTTAAAGGGCTTAAAGTGGGACCTAAGAACTACTATAACTTGGATTTTTAAAAGACTTAAAGTAGGGTCTAAGGTTGACTATAACAATGGATTTTTTAACATTTAATGGAGGGACTATGAACGACGGCAAATGTTGAGATTTAAAGGATGTAAAGAAGGATTTGATGATGAAGATAAACGTGAGTTTTAAAAAAGTTTTAAAAGAATCCAAGAGTAACTATATATTTAATTTTTAGAAGAATCCTAATATTATAATAAGCCTTGGTTTTGTTAAAAGTTTTGAGAGAATCGGATTATAAATATGGCCTTATTTTGTAGAAGGATTCCAGAGTGGCTAAACCCGTGGTTTTTTCAAGAGAGAAAGATCCAAAGATATGTAAAAAATGGGATTTTTAGGAGTTTGAGAATTACTCAGTTTGTATGGCCCTAAACTTGAATTTCTGAAAAATATTAGGAGAATTGGTTTGGCCATAGACAACGATTTTTATAGAGGAAGGTCCAAGGATGAGTATTAACATCGAATATTTAAGTGTTAGTTTAGTATGATCCAAGATGTAGACATAGATGTGGATTTTATAGTGTTTAAGGAGGATCCAAGGACGTAGGACGTATAAACGTAGATGATTTTTAATGTTTTTAATACAAGGGTTAATATAAACGTGTATCTTCGAAAAATTCGAGGAGGATGCAATAATAAATATTAGCTTGGATTTTGTATACTGTAAGGACTATATAATTGTGGAATTTAATATATATTCTCAAATATACAAGGGGGTCCAAAACTATGCAAGAGCTATAAACAGGAGAATTTAAATGGATTGGATTACTCGATTTAGTGGCTTGGATTGGATTAGAAGGATCCGAAGATTACTAGAAATTATTAAAATTATTTTGTAGAATGCAAAGTCGACAAAGGTAGGGATGAGGAAGATGGAGATCAGTTTGTAAAACAGTTTGAGGTGGATCCAAGGGTGTCCAGTCACGTGCATTTTAGGTGGACCCAAAAGTGACTGTTAACGTTCATTTTTAGAGATTATTAGTAGGATAATTCAAAAAATGAACATTAACGGTGAACATAGCCTACATTTTTTTTGTGGATCCACTTGAATACTTATTCCACATAAGATTCGAAATTTATTTATATACCTCCATTTTTAATGTTTCAGCCACAATTTGGAAAGGAACAAAACATACAATAAATTTGGAATTCTCATTAGGTAAGACTTCTCTCTGCAAGAATTTTCACCCATTCTGATAGAAAAAATCGCCTGAGACCCATTAAAGGATATATCCTTGATTCGCATAGAAATCATTTCGAATTATAGAACCTCGTCTGTCTCTTGAAATCAAAATAGAGTGTACATTATTTTATGTAAAGCCTTGAACGTTGGCACACTAATTGATTTTGTGTTGTTAAATATTTGAAATGGACTTTACCGGTTCAGTATTAGATATAGACACCTAAATAACTGTACCCCTGAATATCGGTAATTCGAACAGAATCAACTGTAATTTTAAATATTTATAGGCTCAGTATATTCTACCACCCATATAACGAACGATACCCTTTGATTTTCGGAATTTCGAAGATTTCTGATCCAATATCACACAGAATAAGCAGCAATATGAAATTTTGGGTTCACAAACATCTTTTACAAACATGTTAAGACAGGTTTAAGTCTCCTTGTGATATAAAGTGTTGTAGAGATTTCTTTTAGTTTTTCATTTTTTTCGTTTTTATCTCCTATCTCTCTCTTAGACACAAGCATTAATAATAGTTTTAAGAATAAAGCTCATAAAATGCATTTTCTGCATTTTAGAAAAAATAATGCCTACCAACAATTTATAAATCTTTTTGTTTTTTTACTTATTTTATTTAATATATGTTTTTCTTTTCGTTTCAGATATGTTTTGTGTCGAACTTTAAAAGTAAGTGTTATAATTAAATTCTAGTGGCGTATTTTGAATTATATTTCAGAGGTGATATTCTAATCAATAAGGTTTCCTCGTTATAAGTTTTAATTTCTCGAACATTGAACTCAATTTGCTTTACAATAGCTTTGTTCCTTTTATGCGGAAATATCCACAACTTTTACATTTTTTTCAACCTTTAATTAGAAAATAGCTCCAGTAATATATTACGTTTTTAAACTTCCTTTTAGATTCTCCTTCCTTCCTTCTTTCCTTATTTAAGACATATTAGGACGAATAAGGACTAATAGCTCTGTTGTTGATTCTGAATCATTACCATCTAATTTAGCTTTGTAACATATTTTTGCTTTCTATAATATTTCGGTTAAGTAGTTCTCTCAGAGCGAATTTCACATTTCTCTCTTTTACTAGTTTTACTATAAAAAAGTAAAGGAACAAGGCTACTATTTTCAGTTTTTCCTTTCATTTGTGGAAGTCCGATATCCATGTGACCAGTTCCATGCTATTATGTCTTTCCATTTTTTGTTGACCAACAAATCACTTTTGGATTATTTCCTCACATCGTTAACAAAAAAAAAAAAAACATTCCAAACATTAAATTTATTGCAGAGCGATTGTTACTCAACTCGCTCGCAACGTCATCATCATCGTCAACAGCAGCAGCAGCAATGAATGCATTTTGAATTTTCAATTTGCATGTCTGCAGCGAATTTGCTGCTATTTGTTTTCCTAGTTTAGTTGTTGGGCCGACACTTTCATTGCATTTTGCAATTTATATTTTCAACGCGTTCGCGAAACTAGCTCAGAAGGAAATCGCAAGTGTGACCTTATAAACACGCTGGGGCTAATTTATGTGTGGACTTTGGGTAGTGCAAAAAGAAATGTTTAATAAATAAAAGCTATCAATAATATTTCCAGTTGGAAGGTTTAATATTAAATAAAAAAAATCGAAATTTGAAATTTCACCTTCAAAGGATGGTCATTCCGTTTGTAACATCCCTAAATATTCGCCATGGACCCCATCAAGTATATTTATTCATGATCAGCATAAAATTCTAAGTCGATTAAACGATGTCCGTCTATCTGTTGAATTCACGATGCAGCCCACATTATTTGGCGTAGAGCTTTAAAATTTGGCACATTAATTTTTATTGTGTATACGATGGTTGGTATTGAAAATGGGATATATCCACGTTTTGAGATAGCCTCCATATAATGTCATATAATGGTAGCTCCCGATATTCGGTATTTTAATGGTTTTAGCCACATTTTTGACACCAATTTGTGTTAAAAATGGTATTTGTAGTTCGTTGTGAGTTCTAGCTACTGTGGCGGAAAATTGTACATATAGGTCCAAGTTTTGGTGTAGCACCCATATAATATTCGGTATTTTGATGATTTTTGCCACATTTTCCCCCCGATATTCAGTATTTTTATGGTTTTAGCTAATTTTTTCACGGAGTTCTCCAAAAATTTTCAGCTGACCTCGTTTGTTTACAAACTGCAGGACAACAAATGTTTTCTCATCGGAGAAACCCAAATTCGCCAGTTCACCACTTTCAGCCAAGCGAATCAACTCTTTAGCTCTTTTGAGTCTATTTTCTTTCTGTTGCGGTGTAAGTTCTTCCACTTTTTGGAATTTCTATGGCTCATTTTTCAATATCTGGAGAATGGAATATTGCGATATTTTTAGCTCACGAGCCATTTTTCGGCCATTGCGGCGCGGGTTTCGATCAACTATTTCTGCTGATGTTGCTATTTTCTTCCGTCAACTTCCTTGACATCGGGCTACGCTTCCAGTACCACGGTAACGAGCGATGGTACGGGACACCAAAGATTTATTCACATTTAAATGTTGGAGTGCTCTAACGATAGCCACTTGTGGTTTTCAAGCCCTTTCCGTCTGTTGTAATCACGCTAGAGTCAAAACGAGTTAAGATAGGAAGCAAAATGTTTGCACAGATCTGTTTTTTGTCTGCATGCAGGTCAAGTTCGAAAATGGATCGGTCCACGATATCGTATAGCCCTAATATAACTATACCTCCCAATATTCGGTATTTTGATGATTTTAACCACATTTTTTTTAAAAAATTGTCTGAAATTCTTCACAAGGACTTCTCTGTGAATACTTTACCCCCTGAAAAGAATTTATTATATATGTCCACGATATCGCATAGCCCCTGTACAATGGTGCCCCGCGGTTTTCGGTATTTTGATGATTTTAGACACATTTTTCAATGGAATAGTCTGAAAATCCCCACAAGGAATTCTCGCTTTGTACTTTACTGCCTGAAAGAGAATTTTCTAGGTTTTCGTTTTAGTATAGCACCCATATAACGCTATCCCGAGAGATTCGGTATTTCCAGGATTTTCCGACATTATTCTCCATAATTGCGTCAAATTTCGTATTTCAAGTTCTTAATTTTTACAGCCTATGACAAAAAATTGTCTATGCATGTCCACGTCTTAGTATAGCTCCCATACAACTGTGCCCCCCTTTATTCCATATTTTAATTATATTAGCGACCTTATTCACCGGAATTGGCTCAAGTTTCGTATTTGAAGTTCGGAATCGTTACTACAGCCTATGACAAAAAATTACTCATCCAGCCTCACCTCTTCGTATAGCCCCCATATATGCAATATTTCAAGTTCCTTCCGAATGTTGAAGGATATAAAAAGTTCGGCCCGGCCGAACTTAGCTTCTTTTATTCGTGTTTATTTTTGAAGAAGAGGTTAAGGTTTTGTCCTGTCGGAAACAATAATTGCTATATCCAAGAATATTTCAGATGTAAAAGTTCCAGTAAAAGTTCCTGCATTTTCCAATCGCAAGCTGTGTACAATTTTCGCTTATTTATCCATTTTAGCATACCGCAACAATTTATTTGTTTTCTTTTTTCAAACACAATTTCAGATCTTGAAAATCTATTTTTTCCATTTTCTCTATTTGTTGCAAAACACTAGAAAATGTCATTGTCATTAACGGTCAATGCGGCCTATGCCGCGAAAACTGGTGTTGGCATTTAGCCGCTAGTCTAAACTAATCACAATTGAAATCTTTTCATATCCAAAGCGCCGAGCGGCGCTCCTTTTCACAATTTTGCCAACGCCACTATCTGTTATTTCCATTCATTTGCAATTCGCGTGCATCGGAGAGTGAGTGGATGGATGGATGTGGGTGGGTGAGGTTGTGTATGTGTCATTTTTATACAACTCTGGGGCATGGAAACTAGTTTGAGGAATTATTTCTGCGTCTGTGACCATTTCAAAAAAGCAAAAAAAAAAAAAAACCAAAAAAATTATCCAAATAATTAATCAAATCGAGTGTGACATACAAATGACTCTATAAATAATGCGAAATGCGAACTAAACAAAGAGCAGACTTATGCATTTCCTTAGTCTAAAGCATAAAGCTTTGCCAGCGTGATGGAGAAAAACCACTGCTGAACAAAAAAAGAAAAAGACAATAATCATGCGATGAAGAATTGCGTAGATAGCAATCATTTGCTGTCGTTTTATACTGAGTGGGTTTATAGACAGTTACGACGACTATGGAATAATTATAATCAATTACAATATAGCCGGTTGCCAGTCGTTGTCTCGTTGGACAAAGGGAAGTGTGTGTGTGTAACAGATGGGGTCATATTGTACGCACACATATGTATATGCATGGGTATTCGGGATAATGTAATTAATGCTTGTCCTTCCGCTTTTTAATGAGTAAGAGCGAATAATTTTTTTTCAGGCTGCATAGCATTTATGGGAGACAAAGAACCGATATAGTTAATTTTCAATAGTAATCATATGTTTTGAAGGCATATAACGAGGTCCAATATTCGGACCAAAATTGAATTTAATATTAGACAGGTAATGGAGAGGAATACGAAAAATTATTATATTTCTATACTCTACACCGTTATAAAGGCTGATGTTTTAGCAATTTTCTTTTTCGCAACACTGATGTAAACAGCTCAGGCACATTTCAGGTTTTGCTTCACTGTTAAGCATATTCAGTTCGGACTATAATTTAACCTTGAATCGTCTTACAAACGAATAACGCTTGGAAATCATTGAATTTTATTATCAATACCCATTCTCTGTAAGGAAAGTTCATAGCTCGCCACCTGTGTTCAGCGACAAATCTCATTTTTGACTCAATGGATAAATGAATAAGCAGAATTGTCCATTTTGGTGAAATTTTATGCAATTTAAATGCCTTAACTCGAAATAAAGCCGAGAAAAATTGATGATCTAAACACTGCAGCTTACCCAAGGAAATAAGAAAATAGACAAAATTTCACTTAAAATTTATTTAAGGCCGAACGTAGCTCTATGTATTGGTCTAGACCCCATATAACTGTACCACCACACATTCGGCATTCTGGTGATGTGTGTTACACTTTTATCGGAATTGTTGAAAATAGGGACTACAGGGAAAAATAAAAAAATTGCAACAAAGTCAAAGGACATAAATTTTAAATTTATTTGTAAATTTTATTGAATGAAAGCAAAAAAAGTCGGAAATAGCATCACATTTTAGAATAAGTTTACATTTGTTCAAATTCGTCACCTTTGGCACGAATTATCAGCTTCAAACAGCCAATAAAAACCGTCACACGCTGCCCGAATGTTGCTCTGCGGTATTTTGGCCCAAATCCCGGCGAAGCGCTTGTTTGAGGTGATCGACACTTTGGAATTTTTTAGTGCCAACCTTGCTTTCCAAACCACTCCAGACACAATAGTCCAACGGATTGGTATCCGGAGATTTTGGTGGCCATTGTGCGCTGGAAATGAAGCGGGGAACCTCATTTTTTAACCATTCTTTGGTGGCGCGTCCTGTTGGAATGTCCGAAGTCTGCGGCCAAAATGTTTGCGTGCCCGAGGCTGCTGGACAACGAATGTTTTCTCATCGGAGAAAAGCAAATTCGGCATTTCACCACTTTCGGTCAAGCGAAGCAACTCTTTAGCTCTTTTGATTTCGCAATAATTAACGCTTC